GTCAATTTTTTTAAATGTATTTTGTGTATCTGTTAAAAAACTAAATTTAAAAATAATATTCTACATAATTTAAAAATATAGAGTAATTTAATAAATTTTACCAATTATTTTTTATATTCCAACAATATATAAATTTTATGATCAAATCCTTCTTTATAAATATATATATATATATATACTAAATCAGTTTTTTAGATTTTTTTTAAAATTCATAAACTTTTTTTATTATAATTTTAATTGTACAAAATATATCATTTTTTATTTTTTCGATTAATTTTAAATTTAAAAAATGTTATATAAATAATAATTAGGATGTAAGCTTTTTTACATAATATTATTTTTAATCTTCGATAATTTTTTAAAACCATTTTAATTAATATCAATTTACATTAAATAAAAATATACTTTGTTTTCTAGATATTTATTCTTATAAGAAGATAATGATTATATTTTTTATATAATTTATTTGATTGTTATATTTAAGATTTTTTTATTTAGAAAAAATATATATGTAATTAAACATAGATATTTATTTAAACTTGTATATTTACGATAATTATTGATTATTGTGATTATGTAGAAAACATAAGAAGAATATGTCTTGTAAACATACGACAAATATATGGTGTAATATAGACAACAATAACGTTTTAAATCCCAGATTTAGTATATAAAATTGAAAATATTATAAATGTATACAAAAATAAGAAGTGAGACCCAAAATTTCAGAATCGAAAAAGGCGTTTTGAAAAATTGAAAAAAATAATTAATGAAAATTATGAATTTTATGATATTTTATCACAAACACTCAATATATATATATATATATTGTTATTGTTATTGAAAAATATAGATAATTAAATTATGTAAAAAATTATCTTAGAATATTTTAATTAGATTTGATAACAAAATAACTTGTACATAACAAGATATGAGAGAAAACAATTATAAATTTTGATAGTTTTTTAAGTTTGTTTGTACAAAAATACATCTCCATTGAGACTATAGTTGATTTAAAATTCCAACTAATATATTAATATTTACAACGCACGCGGATTTTGACGAAAAAGCGAAATACAAACAAAAGCAATCGTCTCCGTAATCATTTACTTAAAATTGTCCAGATTCTTGTATCCATCCATCCATCCGTCCGTACGTACATACATACATACATACATACATACATACATACATACATACATACATACATACATACATACATACATACATACATACATACATACATAACGGATCAAGTTTGTCGTCTTCAATCTTTTAGACGAAAATGATCTATGCCTCAAAGTTACACCATACACAATAATAATACACAAATGTGGACGTTCATTTATGTGTTATATATATATACACACACACATACCACTCTCTCACAAAGACTCCTTTTCAAGTCTTCCTTTGTTATCCTTTCTTTCCATTTATACATGCCGCCTTCTCCACCTAATTCAACGCCCATGCTCCTCTCTCTCCCTCGCTCTCTCTCCCTCTCACTCATCTCTCTCTCTTTCTCTTTCACACGCACGCATCTATTTATGTCTCTCTCTCTCTCTCTCTCTCTCTCTCTCTCTCTAGGCCTGCCATTACCATGAGAGGACCACATGACCGATGCGGGGCCTGCTTGTTCTAGGGTTGCTTTCAAGGTTTTCAGATAAACCCATGAAGCAAACAAAAAAGACTGATGAGATTCAACAAAATGGGTTTTGATGAAATATACCATTTTGAAGTTGTTGATAGTGAGAGACAGCAAAAACCCTCTTTCAAAAATTACCCAAAGTTTCAATCTTTAAAAAAAAAAAAAATCGTGCTCTAAGTGCTATCATGTCTTCTACGTTTGTTCTTATCTTTTTCCTCTGTCATATCACTCTTCTTTTCTATATTTCTATACTTTATGGGTTTTTTTTTTCTAATTTTTTGGTTTCGCATTGATTCTTTATGGGTAAATTAATGAATCATTCTCTATTTAAAAGCAAAGTGGCTCTTTGCCCATTTGATTGATCACGAAATAACCCCCCCTGCATTCATGAGTTTTTCTGTAGTAATTTGTACTAAAGCCCGCCATTTTAGATATTTATGCAAATCACGTGTTCCCTTAGTTATTTTCCTTATTTTTCCCCATATTTATTGATACATCCATTGCAATTAGTGTTTGAAGGGTTTTTTTTTTGCTAATAGGGTGTGAGATTAGTTATGGACCGACTGTTGGAAATTTGAAATGAATGTTTATTACGAAATATTTTTTCTCTACTGTTATATCAACGAGATGACGACGAAGACCTGCAGTTGCGAGGAAAACCACTGCAACTTGTCGGTTCCATATAAAATATCATGCGTCATTGACTGAAACTCGCATATCAAATAACCTTTTTATATCAAAACCCTTTTTTTTATAATAAATAATATAAAAATAAAACCCTTTTTTTATAATAAATAATATAAAAATAAAACCCTTTAACTAAAGCATCATATATATATATATATAAAACTCAAGCAGCAAATTTGGAAACTTTTCCATTTGGCCCAAAGCTTGATTTTGTTGGGTCAAATGTGGAGGTCGTTCTCTTAGACTCTTTTAGCTAAGAGCCTCGCTATATCCCCCTTGCCCTAAATTTGTACTTAGTTATTCTTAATCGTTGATGTTATAGAACATAGTTTTTGTTATTAAGTAGACGTAATTTTAGATTTTCTAATTATTTTTAAAAATAATGGCACTTTTATTAATCAAAACTATCGAATTCCCATAAACTATTAATAACAACGCAGTTTTAATCATCAAGATTTAAAATATTAATTATATTTCGACTATTAAAAAATTATATAACCTTTTTTAACATTTTTTTTTTAAAATTTAAAAAAATGTTAAAACTTTAATTATTAAGAAACAGCTAACAAAATGAATGGAATGATAGAAAATATGAGTTACAACAGAAAATTGAAAATATGAAAAATATGAAAGTTGACTAATTTAAGATGCTAGATTCAAATTCCAATTCCACTATATTTTCACTTTTAATTTTTTTTTTTAAATCAGAATAAAATCCATCCTAAGATTAGTTCATTAAAAAGGATTTGGTTGAATCTCTCCTTTTCTCTCCACCCCATCACATTCCACTATATTCTTCTTTTGTGAATCGTAATCAATAAGGTGGAGTGGAAAACTCCCACCACATCCTCTCACACCTTTTTTTTTTTAATGGCAATCAAATAAACTTCTTTTCATTATGTTCTATAAATTTCGTCACATTTACAACGCGATTTAAAAATAATAATAATTTTTTGGTTGTAATTATTTTAAACCAAATCTGTTCCGTTTCTGAATCTTTATAAATTACCTAAAAATAAATAACGAATATATATATATATATATATATCCATTGTGTCGAATTTGCGTTGTTTATGTTTCATTTTTTCCCGACGCAAAATTCTGTCACTTTTAATATAGGTAATTGCCATTCTTAATAGTTTTGTTCCATTAAAATGATTATTAAAAATATCTTAAAAAAATAAACAGTTTAGAACCAAAGGGCAGAAAACAAGTCTTGAATCATTCGTTACTTTGAATTTAATTTCACGAAAATTGAACTATCACAGTGTAATTTTCATTTGATGTAAGCCCATTATATATACATATATATATATATATATATATATATATATATTCATTTCCTTAGCCGCAGATCTCAGGCAAGGTTAATGGTTTTATTTCAGATTACAATATGTAGATATGGATATAGAAGCTGTGAACCATATTTTAGGCGGAGCTTAGTGTTCTCAAAAGGTTGGCGTCACACCATGTCAAAGTGGAAGAAAACATATATATATATATATAACTGAGGTTATGTCAAATATCATTACACAAAAACACACATACACATATACATATATATATATATATATATATATGTGTGTGTATATTATGCAAAAGGTTTGTATATTTCTTTGGTTGGTTAGGTTGGATGTACTCTATAAAGTTATTGATATGACATTTGTGGCCAAATGTTGTTTTCCCCCGCTTGTGGACCGTATGTTCTTATAGTTGCTATGGGGACTCTAAAGTCTATGATAGGATATTATCTTATGCAACATTATGTTACAAGAGCATATATATATATATATATATATACACACATGTATATATATAGTGAATTGATGCAAAGTCAAAGGAAAAGATTATCACCAAAACGGAGTTTTCCAATTTTGAAACTGCAAAACATTGTCTTTTTCTCTTTATTTTTTTTACATTTAATATACTTTGTTTTTATTATGGAATTACTATATATATATATATGATGCTTTATCGTATTCAATTTTTTTTTTTTACTAACATCGGGAACTGTTTATATACCGAAAACCCTAGAAATTAAAGCTATAGTGCTATAGTGAAAGAAAATGCCCATTTTTTTTTAAAAAAAAAGGAATGATAAGGCAAATAATGCCTAACCATATATATAACATATGGAACCATGAGCCACATGAAGGATTGGTAGTACATATATATGCCTTATATGGGTCATGAAAGGCCAATATACTTAATCTATCTTTGCAAACCCTAGACAAAGTGCTACTATAGTACAAAACCTCACCACTTATATATGTATACATGTAAAAATAGACTCATTGTTTTTTTCACCAAGAGAAAGAAAGAACCCACGATTTTTTTTTTCCCGGGAAATTTTCAATGTTTTAATAATTAGGTGCATCGAAAGATAATAGCATAGAAAGACGAATGTGCTAAAAAGCATAATCTCTAAACAAATATATGGATTTGAAATGTAAGGCTAAAAAATATATGTATATATATATAGGAGGTGTTTTATGATGATTGGCACAAAACTATAGAAGGGTTCGTGGGTTTCTAGGCCCGATAGTCCCATTTATGGGCCTTTTCTCTGGCCCAAAATGATGAACACCGGACGGAGCGTCGAATGCACGCGCCGTTGCCTCTAGAGAAATGCCGCCACCTCCCATTTTCCCGCCATTTTCGACGCATTATCTGACCAAACTATCGAATCTCTTTCATGCAAACCCATTAAGAGAGAACGGGATTTTGGCTCGTACTTCGTAGTAGCAGAGTAGGCGAAGAGATTCTCGCTTGTTCAATCTGAGAATGAAGGACAATTTCGAGGAGCAGAACAAGCTTCCCGAGCTTAAGCTGGGTAAAACCCTAATTTTTCTGGGAATTTTTTTTGAACTCGCAGTCTACGACTTCTGGGTTGTGAAAATGGCTGATAATGGTTATGTATTTTTTCAAATTTGATTTTGGCAGATGTTAAACAGGCTCAAGGGTTTCTTTCGTTCTTCAAAACCCTACCCGCTGTAAGTCTCCTTATCCTACTTCGTTTTCCGGGGAAACATAGATTGGTTGGTGCCGTTAATTCAAATCGGGAAGGAAAAGCCCTAAATTTAGGGTTCATGGAAGTAAAGAAATTGGGGTGTTCTTCGTTTTATCGATCACTCCTCATGTGTCTTTCTTTCCTTTTCTATTGTCCTTCATTGCAGGACCCGAGGGCTGTCCGATTCTGTGATCGCAAGGTGAGTTTGGTCGTTGTAGACAATGTTGATGATACTTTAACTTCTGAAATGTAGAATCTTTTGTAGTTATTGAAATTCAAGCCCTAAAACTGCGTGTGATCTGTTTCTTCTGAATCTGACCCTTTAACAATGTCTATGAATCTTTAACTTGCAGGGTTTGAGTTCCTTATTGATTATTGATCTGGATTCTTGTCGTTTGATTGAACAATGGTGTTGTTATGGGAATTTATTTACTAAATCTCATTCGAATAGTTCTTTTGGACGTTTTGAGATATTTAACCAGGCATCATTTTGGGAAAATATTGAAATAAACTTGCAGGACTATTATACAGCTCATGGTGAAAATGCGACTTTCATTGCAAAGACCTACTATCATACAACGACTGCTCTACGCCAGCTCGGTAGTGGATCAGATGCTCTTTTGAGCTGGTTTTTCTTAACGTCCTACAAGAATCTACAGAAGCTGGTGATTGTGACTGGAGGGATATGTATCGTTTTTTTTGCAGGATGATCCGAAAAGAAAGAAGAGCAGGAACATGTTTGAGACTATTGCTCGAGATCTTCTCCTGGAGCGTAATGATCACACTATAGAGCTTTACGAGGGAAGCGGGTCAAATTGGCGACTTGTGAAAACTGGTTCTCCTGGAAACATTGGGAGTTTCGAAGATGTGTTGTTTGCTAACAATGAAATGCAGGACACGCCAGTCGTGGTTTCCATTCTCCTTAATGTCCATGAAAGTGGCTACGCTATTGGGATGGCCTATGTTGATCTTACCAGGCGAATCCTCGGAGTGGCTGAGTTTCTCGATGATAGTCATTTCACGAATCTGGAATCTTCTCTGATTGCTCTTGGCGCTAAAGAATGCATTTTTCCCGCTGAACCTGGAAAATCAAATGAACGCAAAAGCTTACACGATTCTCTTAAGAGGTGTGCTGTGATGATAACAGAGAGGAAGAGAACTGAGTTCAAAGCTCGAGACTTGGATTCAGATCTGAGGAGACTGGTGAAGGGGAACATCGAACCCGTTAAGGATCTGATTTCTGGATTTGATCTTGCCACACCTGCTCTAGGTGCTTTACTCTCATTTTCCGATCTTCTCTCTGATGAGGCAAATTATGGAAGTTTCACTGTGCGGAGGTATGATCTTGGCAGCTTCATGAGACTGGATTCTGCGGCCATGAGGGCTCTGAATGTGATGGAGAGCAAAACCGATGCAAACAAGAACTTCAGTTTAATTGGTCTGATGAACAGAACGTGCACTGCAGGGATGGGGAAGAGACTGCTTCACATGTGGCTGAAGCAGCCTCTTGTGGATTTGGATGAGATTAGGACTAGATTGGATCTGGTTCAGTGTTTCGTCGAAGATGCTGGTCTAAGACAAGATTTAAGGCAGCATCTGAAGCGAATTTCAGATATTGAGAGACTTGTGCATAGTCTTGAGAGAAGAAGAGGTGGACTACAGCATGTAATCAAGCTCTATCAGGTACTTACATAACTTTTTTTTCTGACACTCCAGTCTGACTGTATTCTCCCTTCAGTGAAACAACCGAACTCCATTGCCTTTATTATGACCAAAAACACTTATTTTATACTTGACATTTCGCAGATGAACTTTCTCATCATTAACTCCATCATTATCTTCTCTGTGCAGTCAACTATCAGACTTCCATTCATCAAAACAGCTTTGTCACAGCACTCAGGGGAATTCGTATCTCTCATCCACGAGAGATACTTCACAAAGCTCGAAGCTTTAGCTGATGAAGAACACCTTGGCAAGTTCACTGCTCTGGTTGAGTGCTCGGTAGACCTTGACCAGCTCGAAAATGGCGAATACATGATTTGTTCTAGCTATGACGACACGTTATCATATCTGAAAGAACAGAAGGAATCCTTAGAGCAACAAATCCACGAGCTGCATATAAAGACAGCTCTTGAACTCAATCTTCAGGCTGACAAGGCTCTAAAGCTCGACAAGGCCACACAATTTGGCCATGTGTTCAGGATCACAAAGAAGGAGGAACCTAAGGTCAGGAAGAAGTTGGCGACACAGTTTGTTGTGATCGAGACACGCAAAGACGGAGTGAAGTTCACAAATACGAAGCTTAAGAAACTGGGAGATCAATATCAGAAGGTTGTAGAGGAGTACAGGAGTTGTCAGAAGGAGCTAGTTGAGCGTGTTGTTCAGACCGTGACCAGCTTCTCTGAGGTACTTATTGTTAAGCCTTTGTCTCTGGCTCCTTAGGCTATATTATAAGATAATATTAACACGGATACTATCACACGATTTAACTATTCACAATGTTCATATTAAATCTAGTTTTGCTTAAGAATTTTATTTTAGTAATATTAAATAATATATTTATGGTAATGAAACAAAAAAATGATTTAACAAAACTTGAACTTGTCTGAAAGCCCAGATTTATAGGTACGCAGAAACTCTAATTTTCCAAAAATGTCACTTTAGGATCTAAAAATGTAAAATATCAATAAAAGGTTTTAAGTCTAGATCCTAGTAGAATATAAAAATGTTTTAAGTGGTACCAAAACTAGATTAAATCGCTAATGATGCTAATATTATGTTTACTAAGAAATGTTTCTCATAAGATGTAATGCGTTGATGATTTAAATTAGGATATCAAATTATCAAAATGAGCGTGACCGAGATGAGTATGTTGCGATGGATCTACGGACACAAAAAATGAATAGAATTAGAAATGAGAGTATTAGAGAGAAAATATGAGTAGTAGTATAGAAGAGAAGTTAGAGAAGAGACATTTAAAATGATTTGAACATGTATAACGTGGCTGATAGATGCTGTGCAGAAAAGCGGAGAACATAGGAATGGAGGTGAAAAGAAAAAAGAGGGGTAGACTAGGCTTACTTGGGAACGAGTCATTAGAAAAGATTTAAAATTGTTGCAAATTTCGGACGATCTAACTTCAAACCAAAATGAGTGGAAACGAAGAATTCGTCTGATCGAACCCAAATAAACTTGGGATTAAGGCGATGATGATGTTGATATTGATGTAGTAATTCTTTTCTTTATATGGATTAGTGCTGTCAGATTTATGGTATCATCATTGTTTATAGAATCTCAGTTTTGGATCACTTTACTTCTCTTTTGTGACAAATATTAGTAATAATACTAAATGTTGTTTCAATTTTAATGTTGGTTTATGCTTCCAGGTGTTTGAGGAATTAGCTGGATTGCTTTCTGAAATGGATGTCTTGCTAAGCTTTGCCGATTTGGCTTCCAGTAGCCCGACTCCATATACTAGACCTGATATCACCCCTTCGGTAAATTTAGTCTTTTTTTTCTTGATACGTCCGCTCACTGGAAGATAATATTTGTCTTGCTCACTGGTTTGGACGATGTCTCTTGCTTAAGTTTACTGGTTTTGGGCTTCCTTGTAATATGTTTTAAGAAATTTTTCACATTTCAACCGAATAAAAAAAGAAAGAAAATGAAATATCTGAATCTTGGAAAGGATCCCTTGTGTGCTTTATATACACTTAAAACAGGGGTTATGATCTATTAAACAATAATGAGTATGTTGGTTTCTTTACGTGCTTTCGAGCTTGTGTGCATGTAATATTATAGCACGACACTATGCTGGATATCTGTGGAGATCTGTTAACTATAACTCTAGTTGATCTTTCTAATCCAGATTTAATCAGCAAACAACCATGGTTGGATCTAATTTGCACGTCGGTCCATATGATTTTAATTACGTTTCTGTATGTTTGTTGCTTGGTCGTCTTTAATATTGTAGGATGATGGAGACATTATATTAGAAGGGAGCCGACACCCATGTGTAGAAGCTCAAGATTGGGTGAATTTTATACCAAATGATTGTAGACTTGTAAGCATACGTCAAAATAACCCGATTTTTTGTTCTGTTGATAATTTTTTCCAGGATATTTTCATGGTTTTCATTTAAGTTGAAACAGTTCCTTGTTTGCTTTTGTTAATGCAAAATCAGACCAGAGGGAAGAGTTGGTTCCAGATAATAACAGGGCCTAACATGGGAGGGAAGTCCACTTTTATTCGCCAGGTATAATGTTTGATCTGATTGAATCATCAATATTCACCCCAAAAACTAGTTTAATGTATGATAGCCCATCGCATTCAAAGTGAACTGCTAAAAGTTCCTGTCTTTTTCTGATATTAATTAAACCGCAACTGTTCAAGGACTTGCCGATCACAATACTCTTCTACCGATATGAATTCCAGGTCGGTGTGATTGTTCTGATGGCTCAAGTTGGTTGCTTTGTTCCTTGCGAGAAAGCTTCAATCTCCATTAGAGACTGCATATTCGCTCGTGTAGGAGCCGGCGATTGCCAAGTTGAGTTATAACACAAACCCGTTTTGGTATATGTAACTACCTGATTTTGGAAAACCTTTCCCATTTTAACCTTTTTTTCTCTTTTGTGTTTAGCTGCGGGGAGTGTCTACCTTTATGCAGGAAATGCTCGAAACTGCATCTATACTGAAAGGAGCGACCGATAAGTCGTTGATAATCATCGATGAGCTGGGTCGTGGAACATCAACTTATGATGGATTCGGTTAGATTCACAGCAATAACATATGTTCCTTTCCATTTTCTTTTTAAAGCTCCAAATGTCAAAACTTTTCCGAAAACCATGGATTTGAATGGGAAAATCCAGAAAAGGTTTCAGATGAAATCCTGTTTCAATCAAGTTTTGTTCTCAAGGCTTTCATCACAGTAATTCCATGCATTCTTTCTGGTTTTCAGGATTGGCATGGGCTATATGCGAGCATCTGGTTGAAGTGATAAAGGCACCTACTTTGTTTGCAACCCACTTTCATGAGCTAACTGCCTTGGCCCAACATGCAAATTCTGACACAGTTGGTGTGGCGAATTACCATGTGAGCGCTCATATCGACACGTGTAGCCGCAAACTCACCATGCTTTACAAGGTTTGTGAATCTGAGACGATTTAATCCAACTATTTTGATCATTAATTTTGATGAATAGAATTTTTTTCATGTGTTCTAAATTTTGTGATATAATCCTTTTTATGTTATTATAATGAAATAATAGGTAGAGGAAGGGGCTTGTGACCAAAGTTTTGGGATTCACGTGGCGGAATTCGCAAACTTCCCAGAGAGCGTAGTGGCACTCGCCCGACAGAAAGCTTCTGAATTGGAAGATTTCTCCCCTTCTTCCTTCCTTTCCAACGAGGTTTCTCCTTCTCTCTATCTTCTATTTTTAACTTTATATGGTTTTGGCTTTACGAGTGAATCTGTTGCAGTCATTATCTTTCATTCATGTAACCTATGCTCGGAAAAGTGATAGGATCTTAGATTTGGTCCTTAACTGTTGTCACGATCTAATATATGGGTTAATACATTGTTGAAATGATGTATAGGCTCTGATACCATATACAATAAAATGCTTTCGTGTGTAGCATCACTGTAATGTACATGGTAATATATATAAGGAAATCTACGGTTAAATGTCGTAAATGCGTGATTAGTATAATATCCTTGTATCCAAACCACGGTCAGGACAAACTCAACATGGTTTTTCTTAACGTCCTACAAGAATCTACAGAAGCTGGTGATTGTGACTGGAGGGATATGTATCGTTTTTTTTGCAGGATGATCCGAAAAGAAAGAAGAGAGAGCATGATCCAGAGGACGATGTCTCGAGAGGAGCGGCGAGAGCTCACAAGTTCCTGAAGGAATTCACGGAGATGCCATTGGAGGAAATGGAGCTCGGAGAGGCACTCGGACGGGTCCGTGAGATGAAGGACAATCTCCAGAAGGATGCCTCGGACAGCGTCTGGCTCCAACGACTACTATGAAAGCTCTACGGAGGACTCGGACAGGGGTAAAACCATCATTTCACCTTATTTATCGGACCAGCACAGTGAAAGGCGACCTTTTTTTTTTATTACAGCGGGCTCTAGGACGGTTTTTTTTTTATGTTTGAAGCTACTCAGACGAAGAGGGGGACAAACGGCGTGGGAATGTCTGATTTTGGGGGGGGGGGAAAAAATCTTCAATGCTCTTTTTGTAAAGCGAAACACTTTTAACATAGCGTAAGAATTTGGGGTTATTTATGTAAATTCTCGTTCCGAAAACGCCACGTGGCAAATGTTGGTAATGAATATGAAAAAGGCGTCATGCAATCAAATTCAAGCAGGAGCATACATAATTACTTCTTAATTGTGGGAACTAAGAGCTTCCACACTTCATCGTTCAACATCAGTCTTGTCTTCATTCATTCGGCAATGCTCCGGCTGTTACTCATTTACCTTTTTGCATTATATTCTTAAACAAATTAAATACCTTTTTATCGTTTCAAAACACATTTTTGCACTTCTACAAGCGTTTAGGGACATTAATATTTCGTACATTTTTAGAAATTGATACTTCGCAACTTTTGCTCGTGTTTTAGGCTTGTTAGCCCATGGAATTTGAATATATGCATGCCCCATTTACATCCAATCATTTTCTCTTCTCGTCGATCATTGTTCCTTTTAGAACATATATATATATATATATATATACCGTTTAAATGTGAACTTCTTTATGGTTTGGAATAGTTTGTCTTTCAGATAAAAGATGTGAAACAGAGAAATTTATAAAGTTTATGAGTTCATAAACCGAATTAACTTGAACCGAATTGAATATATTAGAGAGAATCCATTGTTTTTTTACTTGGGTTTGATTCATAGTAACGGTAACAGGAATATATATATATATATAGAGAGAGAGAGAATGAGAGAGATGGTCCCTCCATTTGGTTAAATGTTTTATCTCAAATCAACTCGTGATCCCTCCTCAACCTCTAGCCCTTATCATACGCATATGATGCAGTTTCATCTCTTATCCTACGCACCTCCCCCCTCCGCCTTTGCTTTTTTTTTTTTTTTAACACTTGTTATCGAATCCAACCTTTCAGACAGCGATTCTGCGATAACAACAAACGACAAAACACAAAGATACCAGTCCCTTGTCTATCGTGTGATAATTGACCACCCAACAAAAGCTTATCCTACGCCCATAGCCCATCATAGTGTGTGTCCTTCGTAACTTCTTTTGCCATTAAGAAAACCGGAATCAGAGGACCAAACCGAAATAATCGAAATCAGCGAATACGACAGAATACGCCCTCAACACCGTTGTAACTATCGTACGCGTTTTGAGTGTGCAATCTTATCCCGCGCCACACCAGCACCGGAGATAAACCACCCGCTGTCTTTATCCTGCGCACCGTGTACCTTCCCAAGTGAATGTTCCTCAACACACTGAAGAAGTCATCTTCACGGCTTTGCCCCTACAAATACGGAGTGCCCCTTCTTATCCTACGCGCCCCCATTTTTTTTTGGCTCTCTTTCAATGTAACTGAACAGACAAACACAGTGTCGCAAGAGTCCAAGAGAGCAGAGACCGACCATTTAACATATATTTATCAAACCCATCACACCCACCACACGATTCAACCCAAAGGGGAGAGAGAGAGAGAGAGAGAGAGAGAGAGAGAGAGAGAGAGAGAGAGGCTCTAATGGAGAGTGTGGTGGGTTGGAGCAGAGAAGAGGAGAAGGCCTTCGAGAACGCCATTGCAATGCATTCGGTAGAGGAGGAGATAACAGAGGATCAATGGAGGAAAATGGAGTTGATGGTTCCAAGCAAATGCCTTGAAGAACTGAAGAACCACTACGAGATTCTATTAGAAGATGTGAATGCTATTGAATCTGGACATGTTCCCTTACCTTGTTATTCAGGAGGAGGACAAACAGACATCGACGAACCTGTGAATTCCCCATCAAGTCGAGACGCCCATTCCTCGGGCTCTCCAGCACCGGAGAAGAGACCAAATCCCGGGATGAGTGCTTCGGGTGGGAGAGGCAGCTCGAGGGCTGAGCAAGAGAGGAGGAAAGGGATACCTTGGACTGAAGAAGAGCACCGGTTCGTTTTCTTCCCTCTGTAGATAAGGCAATAGACAAACTAAAAATGAACCACATAATGCTAGAAATACTCGGGTCGAAATGATATTTACCTTTGTGAATCTGATCGCTGAAAAAAACCAGACCCGGGTTTTGTTGTCAGGTTGTTTCTTCTGGGTTTGGACAAGTTTGGGAAAGGAGACTGGAGGAGCATCTCCAGGAACTTTGTCATCTCAAGAACACCGACTCAGGTGGCGAGTCATGCCCAGAAATACTTCATCAGGCTAAACTCCATGAACCGAGACAGAAGACGGTCTAGCATTCACGACATCACAACCGTGAACAACCAGAACCAAGCAGCGGTCACGGGTCAACAAGTAGCCAAGCACAGGGTGGCTCAGCCACAGCTGCAGCTCCCAGCCACAACCATGCCCCCGGGAATAGGGATGTATGGCGGTGCACCGATGGGGCAACCAATTGTTGCACCACCAGGCCACGTGGGTTCAGCCGTTGGAACACCGGTCATGCTCCCTCCTCCACACCATCACCATCACCATCACCATCCAGGAGCTCCTTACGTCGTCCCAGTATATCCGGTACCACCACCGCCTCTACCTCCACATCCAGCTCCACCAACAAGGCACTAACTTCTCATATGTAAGAATCACAGAAACTTTTGTACATCTCCATATAATTATTAGGTCGCTGATATGCGAAAAAACGAAGTGAGATGAACATTTAAGTACAAGACTTCTATCTTGCAGTATCAGCTATACACTGAAATAAGTAAAACCAAAAAAACTGAGAAAACTACCTTTCCTTATAGGAAGAAACACCTGACTCTAGTTTCAGGAAGAGAATCGTACAAAGATTGTTTCCCGGGAAAATCATTTCCTGGAAAATCAGTTCAAGAAGAACCTCTGCTAGCAGGCAGTCAAACATGGAATCGTGGATACAGGTAACTAGTGATGATAAGAAAGTACGAGCAATCATATGAAAAGACGGTCATGGACCTGCGTTTCAAGTATCACTATCCTCGGAATATCATTTTCTGGATAGTTAGTTCCAGAAGCATCTCTTTGCACAGCCAAACAATGAATTGAAATATTAGTTCTCAATACTATTCTGGCAGTCAATTAGCAAATTCAGATAATGGTTAATGGAAAAAAAACACCAAGAAAAGATGCAAAACTATGATTAGAGATGAGCAATTCAAGTATTCTAGTGTTCTTAGAAGTACATTGCTAGCCCTGCTGCTAGTGATTAGAATACTTACATTACATAAAGACCCGCTACGAATATAGTCTTTTGGTCAAAAGCTTTTCTAACATCTCCTTGATTTTATAGTCAGGCGGCCAGAGAATAAGTTGTACAGAAGCCTTTTTCGTCCACATTTCCACCATAAGGGTGCCCCGAGTCTCTTTCTCGTCCGATTTTCTGCAGAGGAAACACTCAGTGATGATTCGAGAAGTGCAAATTGAAGAAATGAATAGAAATTATTGGGACTCTCTCACTTTTGTCCTTGGGCAGATATGCTTCCCATTCTGAAAGTAAAGTAGAATGCTTGGTAGCCAGAGACGCCCAGAAATTCATTTGAATCTTCAGCACATCAAGAACAGCTCGCAGACCCGCTCTTGAAGGAATGGTGTTCACAGGCAAATCACATCCAAGAGTTTCCCCCAGAAGCACCTTTACAGATTAAGTGGGAATAAAGAAGTCAATTTACAAATATTATGGCCATAAGAATGATATCCGACGAATAATCATCCATCCATTCAAAAGACAGCTTTGAGCTGTCCACAAGTGAAGTGAGAAACTATGAATTTTGAGACTGAAATTAACCTTGATTACAGCAGTTGCTGAAGAAGATATTGAACGGAGATTATACCTGCAAAATTGATAACTTAATCACCTGCCCATTCAAAAGACAATGAACACCAAATTGTAGAGCACGTACCCTCCCTCAAGAATGACAAGTAGTTTTCCACCACAGAGATCAGCTAGCATCCGGGTCATCTGGGAATAACCAGCAGGAGTCACCTGGATATAAGATACCAAAATTAGTTTCCTGTATAATATTTAGTAGTACATCTTCTCCCTTGAAAACCCTTTTCGGGGGGCAACAATTCAACAGAACAGCTCCCGATTAAATTTACAGGATGAAACCATGTCTGATAGTTTCTGTTTGACAACAGTGGAATACAAGCTTACATCGCAGCATCCTAGAGGATCGCCTCTTGCAGCATCAAAACCCGCAGATATGATGACAAAATCGGGAGAGAATTCAGAAGCTTCAATAAAGGTTCAAACGAAATTAGATGGAAGAAAAAATATAAGTATGCCCAAGCTTGAACAGATTGATATGTCAACATGTATTGGTTTTACTCCCTGAACATGTAGGCAACAAAGATCTGAACAGATCACTGTTCAATCGGACTCAAAAGGGGGAAAAGCCTACTCCATACCTATAGGGAGCACGATCTGCTGAAATGCAAAGATATAGTCGTTGTCACCAACTCCACCACGACTCCAAGGAATATTGACACAATAGCCTTCAGCACCACTTGTACCAACCTTCATGGCAGATTCAATGTTAGTAACTACTTCAGCACAACCTATTAAGATAAACAGGAGGAAACGACAACAAAGCGTGCAATAATCTCAATCCTTAGATATTATATAAACTTGAAAAACAAGCAAGCGCATGGATATATATATGTATATATATATATATGCAACTAAAATTACTGGAACAGCCTTATGATTGGTATTCTCAGCAGATAATTAGATAAAAAAGCACAGGTACCTCATCAGCAGCTCCTGTACCAGGATAGAAGTTTCCTCCCTCGTGTCTGTGCAAGGATATATACAAGACCTACACAATGTTCTGAATCAGTTAAGCTGAAAATTGGAATCCCAACAAGAATTTAGACCTTCCAATTTAACAGGTGGCATATATAGTATTAGGTAGCTTACAGATTTGTTCTGCTCGAATATCTCTTGGGTTCCATTTCCATGATGGACATCCTGAAATGACGAAGAAGAAGTCTATATAAGCCTGAACACATCATGCAGAAAATTTCCAAAAGAACACTAAGCATAGGGAGCAGTTAACCATGACATTACCCAATCAAGAATCAGCACCTTCTTCGCCCCTGCAGCCTGAGCTGCTAACACAGCAACAGCTGCATTATTGTGAAGGCAAAACCCCATAGCATGTCTGATGCCAGCATGATGCCCAGGAGGACGAACCTGAGTCATTTAAGATTTGTACAACGGTAAGAATGAAACTCCACAATAAAAATAAACCTATACATAGTTTTCATAAGAAAACTTTTGAATTATTACGAGTTTCACATACCAATGCAAAACCATTTTTGACATGGCCAGAAAAAATTTCTGATGCTAGATCGGCACTTAAACCTGCTGCAAGCCTTGCAGCACGTGCTGAATACTCATTAGCATATGTGTCAGGGGTGAAATAGCTGCAAATCAGTGGTAAAAAGAACACCTTTCAGAGCATACAAAAGACTAAATGAGGAGCATCTTAAACAAAAGACATTATGGTCAGTATTTGATTTGATATTCTTAATGTACACAATGTTACTGAGAGAGAAGGAGAAAGGGCTCAAAAATTAATACCTATAGAGAAGCTGGCTTGTAAGATCAACTGCTTCAACATGCTCTGAAGTGTGAACCTGAAAATTGACAAAAGGAAACCACTCAAGTGATTGTTTCAAAGTTGTTGAGGAAACTAGACAACAAAAACAATGAAAAGTCATTAGTAGTTAAAGATGTCTCTAAGACAACAAATAGGGGTTCACCATTCGGAGTTCTTCTTTCGTGATTTCCCTAGCAGCAATAGGGAAGCATCTTCCAGGAAAAATGCCTGCAAATTTACAACAGTAATGAAAACAACAAATACATCCAACATTATAAGTATGATACAATCCAATAGATTCACCAGAAAGGAGACCTACATACCAGCTGTAGCAAGACTAGCAGTTATAGCTCGGAGACGGTCAGGTCTCTCAGGATGTGGATGAGCCTTCATTTCAAACTGTTTAAACATGTCACCACTAAAGGTCAGAATGAAAAACACTTGCAAAGGCAAAACACTGGACGCTAAGAAATCATATTGTAATACACCAATGCAATAAAAGCAATTTCCAAAAAGACTCATGTCAGACTACAATTCTCAGCAAATATAAAAGTTGACAAAGCAATACTTCTGAGTGCAGCAACATTCTCTCGTCGAACCCCACTGCCGTTGAACTTCTGGCGGAAGAGCTCCCTAGCCCTGAGTTAAAGTAGGCACCAATTAAGTAAAGCATACACGAAAGCAATGACAATAAACCCACAGTAAAGTTGTATCCAGCGACAGGTATAGACAAGGAATCATGCAATTACTACCTCCATATTTCTCTTCAAGTGCTGATTCGACCTCGGCAAGACCCGAATCTTTTAGAAAAGGAGATGAAAAATATCCATGCCTCAGAATGCCAGATTCCTTATGCTCACCACATATCTGCATCAGGTAACCAACCTAAGTGATACGTACTATGTAGCTGTCGCACACTATACCCGAGGCATGCAATATAATATGGCACACCATATCAACAGATAAATAAGGAATTCGACTCGTACACCACACATGGAGAAACACACAATTGCTAACATCAATGACAACAAGGGCAGAATCACGGTTCACCATTGTGCCAGGGTTCATAGTGGAAAAGGAATCGAAACGTACATAACAGTGGACAATACTGCCAGGGTTTGCCATAGTGCAATTGGTACAGCACCACTTCAGAACCTCCACAGGCTTCTCCACAGGCTCCCAGTCGCTATCATCCTCGTCGTCATCAACCAGCAAGCCATCTTCATTGTAAATATCCTCGAATGTCATTTCCCTTGAAACCCTAGCCTTTTTCTACAGCAAAAGGAACCCATTTCACCAAATTCACAAACACAAAACCTATGGCACAAACAATAAGAAAACATCTATGAGGAAGTTTACAGATGAAAAGCCAGGGTTCCAATCCATGTCTCCACTGCTACATTCATCTCCAGAGTTTCCTTCAGTACAACAAGTTACCGCAACATCACTGTTACCGTGTCTTCGCTTTGAACCTTGAGTTGGGTTCTCGCTTCTTGTCTGGTCCTCACCATTTGTGAGGCTGTCAACTTCGAGGGCTTCTACAACCATTGTCACCTCAGTAGAGTTCACTGAAAATGGTAACCAGACAAAGAATTCTTCATCACTCCATAAAAAGAAGCAAAGAAAAGCTACGAATGTACACAAATGAAAGAAACCAAATCTTAACACAACAACAAAAAAAGCCAAATATTCTTGAAATCTCATATCCGAAGAACGCGTACCCCAAACATTGGAACACTGGACTACAATAAAGATCCACAACAATTTTTTTAAAGAAAAAAAAGCTGCACAGAGAAAAACTTCTCTCCCCGTATTTCGCAATCGATCGTAGATCCAGAAACCAAACAGTCAACAATGATCTTCTTTCTTGGAAAATACACACGGGAAACGAGAATCTTTACCTGAAGAAATGGACGAAGATTGTGGAACCGTATAGAGACTTCGCCCGCCTACCTCAGAGGAGCGAAAGACCACGCGCTACCATGGTTGCTTTACAGAGGAGGGAGGGGGGGAGAGAGAGGGAAGACGAAGCTCGACGTGAAGACAGTTCGGTTGGGCTAACAACGATGAAAACCCAACAAGAGAAAAGTAGAGAAACAAGGGACCAAGCCCATTGGAAAAATGAGGAGTAACCAATTTTTTTTTTCTTTTTTTCTGAAGAAAAAAAATCATAACGAAATAAAAATTGTTTTTAAATTCAATTACAACGTGAGATTAGTTTGGTTATTTTTTAATATTTTCATTTCATTTATATATTAGATTTGGTTACATTCGAGTTTTTGTTCTTAAAAATATCCAATATTCTGTAAAATGATTTTTTATTTATTTCTTAAGATTTAAAAAGGTTATATTTAGTAACAATATTATTTGGTTTATCAACATGAGGTTTTACCTACAATTTCTAATGGAGAATTATGTCACCTACTAGAAGTGGTTATTTCGGTTTCCGGTTTGGATTTAGTTCGGTTATATTTGAGTTTTGTTATTCTAGTTATAGAAAAAATATTATCATTCGGTTTTTATATCAATTTTAGTTCGGTTTTATATCGATTCACTTGGTAAAATACTCAGTTTTTTAAAAATATTTGCTTTTTCAATTATCTTTTTATTCGATTTGATTCACTTCGAATTTAGAAAAGTAATAAACGTTCAATTTTTATATCAGATTCAATTCGATTACTATTATTTCTTGTTCCATTCGGCTATCGGTTAATGGTTAATAATCTCATCGGTGAAAAAAATATGTATGTATTGTTAGTGTAAGAATATATATATATATATATATATATATATTGGTTTCGTGTACTGTTTCTATTAACACTACAAGGAATTTTATTGAGAATATGTTTCCAGTCAACCAAATCTAATCGGACCAAACCATCTCGAATCTTTTATATCAAACCGAACCAAACCGGAATTTCAAAAAGACAAAACGACAACTCTCATGATCATTTAGTCGAACACCTTGTAGGCACATTCCCTTTGACAAACATTAGAGCTACATGGAGCCTTCTCTGATTTCACCAAAACTCTCTTCTTCTTCTTCCTTCTTCTTCTTCATCATCTCCATTTCATATTGCTTCAATCTCTCCTCCATTTTCCTCTGCATTGATACAAAATACAAAAATCAGAACACGATCTCCATTTTCCTTCGTTTTCTCGGCGACCAAACAGAGAAGACAGAGAGAGAGAAGCTGACCTTGTAGTTGACCTCGACGCGATGCATAACGTAGAAGCCAAGAGCCCCACCGAGTATGGTTCCGGTTATGATCCGAACGTATCCCCATGTCTGTGACGTCAGCGCCATTTTTCAACTCTCTCTCTCTCTCCCACGAAACCCCCTTTCCGGATATTCATCCACCGAAAACCGAACCAAACTAATCATAACGACCGGTTTAATTCGGTTTAGTAAGTTTAGTTCTTTTGTTGACTTTGGCCGGTTTTTCGAACCGGGCGTCCGGTTTAAGCAAAGAACCAATTAAACCAAACCAGTATATGATTTTCGAAATAGGATACCTTCAATACGGTTTAAATTGGAAATCAAATAAAAAGATATCACCAAAAAACAAACAAAAAAATCTTGGTTCTTTGCATTTGTATGATATTGAATGTGAGTAAAATCATTAAAACAAGAATAAGCTAAACCGACGGTTTAGATGTCTTCGCATCCAGGTTTAAACATGAATTCGGAAACCAAAGCCAAGTGATCGCTTCCCAGTTTCTGCATCACCAAAAAAAAGGGACAAAGACTTCAACTTAACTTGACAATAACTTCTTCCTTTCTTTTTACACACACCATTCTATAGTTTAGTTTCATAAAATTTCATCATAGTTAACTCCAGTTAGTTTTATTAATTCGTCTCACCAATCGAATTATCTGTATCCATACCCCTTGGACGAGTAACTAAAGAACAACCCGTCCCATGCCCGTGAAAGATCGAATACCAAAAAATCGGATATCCGTGAATCAGATGCCTATTGTTATCGGAATTATGTTATTTATGCCCACCCCTATTATCTTGTAAGATGCCTAATCCTTAAAACCTTGTTTATATGCTTACCTCACAAGGAAGGCCTCTGGTTTTGCAGAGAACATCAATGGGAAGTGTATCAAGAACTCTCGCAGGGACAAGACCACCATCAGAGTACCTGAGCCATAGACACAACACATGTTCTTTCATTAGTTCAATCTGCCATTATTACATCTACCGATTCAGATCGGTCTTTGAGCGTTGAAGTCGGTTGATTGAGTTTACCAGAGGTAATCAACCGTGCCAAGAAACTTCGAATGATATGACGTTGCGAGAGGTTCGCCTGCCGAGTCTCGTGTTCTCGCTGCTGATCCCTGTTAGTTTGTCATGATACAAATTAGAAAACAGTAGAAAGACAGTTGAGTTTTTTTTTATCCAATGGAAAATCTGGAAATATCAACTTAACAGCTTCACTGCTTAGCCTTGCTAGGAGAATTCTGTCTATCATATCATTAGACTATTTTTCTTTTCAATTTTTCGGTAGTTTCATTTTCTGAATTCTACCTTTCAACTAAATCCGATTCCAATGTTTTTTGGTGCGGTTTAATCTCTGATATTCGGGTCGTATAACTACGTAATTCTCAATCTCTTCCAAAAGTTTACACATAGTGGAAGAAAGAAACGACGATAGCTAGGGGAAAGTTAAGGCCTTTAGGGGATACCTTAACTGAGGCATATGAGCTACGGAGTTTGAGGGGATGAACAGCCCAGTAGGAGTTGTCACGCCCAGTTGCGATCCGGATCTCCTCATTGGTCCAAGAGCTACCGCCCAAAGATCTGAAAAAACAGAGCAAAAATTCTAACCGAATCCCTGTACTTCTACAGTTCGACTAATGGATGTTGGGTTTCGTGATTGAAACTTTTACCCGATGTCAAACTCAATCCAACAATGCCATTAAGTCATCAGCATCGAATAATCTTGTTCTTACCTGCCGATGGAAACTAACATATCGCTCTGTTTTCTACTTGTGCCAAGAACACGAGTCGGATGACAATTCCTCTGGCCAGAGAGCTCTCGTCTGTTATGCTCCATGACATTCAGCTGTGACATAGAAACGTAAATCAATGAAAAAAAAGCACCTCCACAAGCACAAAATAAACAGTTGTTCTACTGAAACCAGACTAACTACTTACCTCCGAGGTTGCTAAGAAGTTGTATACTGGACTCTGCAAATGCGTAGATACAGAACTGAGTTAAAATAAACAGATGTAGACTGCCAACTGGGATTTAGTTCTGTGTATATAGATAGGTACCTCAGGAGTGCTGTTGAAATCTCCAGCAAGCACAACGGGAATATTACCCCATTTTTTGGAGAGCAAGTGTGCCCTTGAGCATAGCAAACGGATCTATATTGATTTCACCATATCAACCAATCATTCAATATCCATTTAAAGAGTTGTTTAATGACATTCATCATATTCAGGCGAATTTCTGTCCATCGGCCATAACAAAAACTGTCCGGCTTAGAGGAGAAGGCATGAATTTGATTAAATAACAACTTATAGTCTACAGGGTCTAGGGTTTATGCAACCTTTTTCCAGACACAAATTCCATAACGTAAGTTACTCATTTGTCATATCAAACTTCTAAATTCACAAGACTCACCTGCCCTAGCTTCACATCTCCTCGGCTTGGATAGTAAAGCACATGGGTGTTGCCGACCAGTAGTTTTCTTGACTTAGATTTACACATCTGACAGAAACCCGAGAGCTCGATGAATCAGTGAAACTATAAAATCAAGAAAGAGAACTTTAGAAAAGAAAAACTAAAGGAAAGAGATTGCTACCTCAAAAACAGAAAGCTGAGCAACGTTATCATGGAGGCCAAAACTCTTGAATTCGATATTTTCGCTCTCCAAAAGCTGAAACCTTTTCAAAACAAAAACATATCAAAACAACCTAGTTGATATTTGTCTGATCAGTGTGCTGAACGATGGTTTGCTACCTATCGGCTTTCCAGAACAATGCACAGCCATCAACGTTATCTCCAGTTCGCCGCTGCCATTGGAAAGCTTATATTTCTAGTCCTTCTATATAAAACCAGGCCACAGCTGAGGGCTTCAAATGAAAAAAAAAGGCATATGGATATACCAAAACTTTTCTACACGTCCATATTTATACGATTTTCTCCGCCAGGATATTCAACATATAAGACTAAACATTAAAGGGGACACATGGAAATAGAGTAACCTTGTACGAACCCGCATATCCAGCTTTCTCCAATGTGCTGAACAGATCGAAATACTTGTCCACTTCCTACAGGATTCATGGAGAAATCGTGATGAGTCCTGGTAAACTATCTACAAATCAATACCCACATTCAGACCAAAGCTACAAACACTGGCATTGAACTCGTGAACCTGCATACAGATAATGTCTGGACCAAGACCAATCAGTTCGTCGCAAATCAGCCTTTTCCTGTAACCCCACTTCAAGTAAGGATTAGGAACATTGGGGTAGAGATCTCTGTGCTTAGACGAATTCCTGTCTGCAAGTATATTGTAGGACACGACCTTGATTCTCTCTGACGCCATATATATATATATATGCAGAGACATCAGTAAAGGAATAGGATCACACGGAATTACGATTGTCAAATGATCTGACATGAAATTGACATCCCATGAACTAGAATCAAAACAAGTACGAATCCAACCATCAGAGACTACCTTCGGAATTGAGAGCCGCATCGGAATCCGTCCAATCTCGCACAACCCGAGGAGACGGCGGATGATCCGAAGGCTCAGGACCATAAGAAAGAGGATTGTACCATCGACGGCTGTTGTAGGAGCGAGTTGATGATTCGGGATATGAATTGGGCGGTCCAGATGTTGTGGAGCAAGAGACGGCGGAGTTCCGGCATCTGGAGGAGCGTCGAAGCAGGAAAAAGAAAGGAAACGGATAAACCTCCGGAAAACAATGAACTCCGGTGGAGATACCGACAGCTCCGCCGGGTCGGAGCCACGAACAACCGTCGCAGCCCATTCAAATTCAGGAAATATGGATGAGGAAAATAGCAAGGAAAAGGATAACAGCCCAAAGCACTTGGCGCCATTCAGATAATTTCTTTTATTTTATTTATTTTTCATTTATGGGCCCATCTACAAGTATTTTCTTTAAGCCCAGGCCCATAAATAAAAATGTCTCTTGGCTTTGATATTTGGATATTAAAACTAATAGATTATTGTAAATCGTAGACATTTAGGACTCACTTATCTAGGATTCACAATATGTTTTTTTCTAACTTTTTTTCGTTATGATTTTTCTTTACTATGATGAATGTCTATACATACATCATTTGGAATATATGAAATACGAAGAAATTTTCCTTTCTCTCTATCATATTCTCTCTATTTAGTATAGTATTCCACTATTGCTTTTTATCTTTCGTTTTCAACACATTATCAACTCTACTGATATAGAGGTGTATTGATAATAGAGAAACAGAGTATGAAGAAACAGAGCATGAAGATCTGGATCTGGAAAGGAGAACAATTGAGGTCTGAAGAAGATGAAGAACGAGAGAAAATTTGTAAAAAGGCTTTCTTTGTATTTCGTATACTTTCTTAATACATCTCTATACAATATGTACTTATATAATCTCTATGTGGTCCCAATACAAAAAGGAAACAACAGAAAGTGCTAATAAATGAGGAGACAATGTCAGACATGTACCAACCCAAACATACGAGGCCGTTATTCGTCAGACATGAACTCGAGAGGAACTGTACTATCCATCATTGTCATAAGATGTATAGGTTAATACTCCCCCTCAAGATGGAGAATACAAAGATTGTATTCCCATCTTGAGTAAAAGTCGATGGAACTGCTCAATATAGAGTGGCTTTGTCAGCAAATCAGCCACTTGATCAGTAGAAGGAACATGACAGAGCTGGAGAAAACCGGACTTCACATGCTCTCGGACAAAATGACAATCGATTTCGATATGTTTCGTCCGTTCATGGTAAACCGGATTGCTTGCGATGTGGAGAGCAGATTTACTATCACAATAGAGATCAACCGGTTGCGAAACAGAGAGACGCAAATCACTCAGAAGAGAAGACAACCAGATTAATTCAGAAGTTGTCTAAGCAAGGGCGCGATATTCTGACTCAGCACTGCTACGGGATATTGTTGGCTGCTTCTTGGATTTCCAGGAGATGAGAGAATTACCAAGAAATATGCAATACCCAGTTACAGATTTCCGCGAATCGGGGCAGGAAGCCCAGTCTGCATCAGAAAAACCGTGTAGCTTTAGTTCTGAATGATGAGGATAAAAAAGACCTTGGCCAAGTGAGTGTTTCAGGTATCGTAGGATTCACAAAGCTGCCTGATAGTGAGAATCTCTTGGGGAAGACATGTATTGGCTGAGTTTTGTGACGGAGAAGCTAATGTCTGGCCGTGTGACTGATAAATAAATCAACTTGCCAATGAGCTGCCGATACCGAGTAGGATCAGAAAGCAGTTCACCGGAATCTTGGGCAAGCTTTAATCGGGTCTCCATGGGGGATGTCAGAGGCTTACATCCTAACATGCCAAATTCTTCCAGAAGCTCAAGAGCGTATTTCCGTTGACAAATTTGAATACCCTGCTGTGAACGAGCCAATTCAATCCCGAGAAAATAGCGCACGTTGCCCAAATCTTTTATCTGAAACTCAGAACGCAGAATGTGCTTGAGTTCGTCTATCTGTTTAAAATCGTTCCCTGTAATCAATAGATCATCAACATATACAAGAACCACCAGAATTGAAGTACCATGATGTCTTGTAAACATGGAATTATCTGACTGGGACTGAATGAACTGAGCTTCAAGCAACGTTGCTGTGAGCTTCTGGTTCCACTGTCTTGATGCCGTTTGAGGCCATACAATGATTTGTGTAATCGGCAAACGGAATTGGCTGGATAAATCTCCCCTTGAAGCTGAGCATAACCAGGTGGAAGTGTCATGTAGATTTCCTCGGAAAGATCACCGTTAAGGAAGGCATTTGAAACATCAATGTGTTCCAAGAACCAATTCTTTGCCGCTGCAATAGCTATCAAGAGACGAACAGATGTGAGTTTAGCAACCGGATTAAACGTATCAAAATAATCGATTCCCTCCATTTGTGTGTATCCTTTGGTAACCAAACGTGCCTTATGCCTCTCAACAGATCCGTCAGGGTTGTATTTCACCTTGAAAACCCATTTACAGCCGATCGAGCACTTGCCTGGTGGGAGAGAACAGATAGACCAGGTCTGTGTCCTGTGTAATGCCTCCAATTCAAGTTTCATGGCAGTTCTCCATTGATCAGATTTTGTAGCTTGAGAAAAGGAGGTAGGTTCAGGGTATGTGGTAATAGATAAGATGTAATGGCGAAAATGAGGATTAAGGTGTGTGTATGAAAGATATTTGGTGAGGGAATGAGAGGTAACAGAATTTTCTGGAGGTGGAGAATTATGCTTTAAGTAATAACAGTGATAATCCTTTAGATAATCTGGACGTCTTGTAAGACGTTGTGGTCGGGCATTATTCTCTGAATGAGGAGGAGAAACTCGAGAGGAACTGAGATTTTCTGTAGGAGGAACTGAGTTTGGCAGAGGAGGGTCCACAACAAGAGGAGAATGAGACTGTAATGAAGGGTGATCAGGTTCATAAAGGAGAAAAGGATTTGGTGTTGAAGGAAAGAACTCAAATGTCGAACTGGGCATTATCTGGGTTTTGAAAGGAAAAATTGTTTCATGGAAAACAACATTCCGTGAAACTGAAATGCTCTGTGATTCAAGGTCAAGTACTCGATACCCTTTAATTCCACTAGGGTAACCGAGGAAAACCGATGGCTTAGCTCGGGCTGAAAATTTGTGACGGTTTTTGGGTAAGGTGGAAACAAAACAAAGACAGCCAAAGACTCTTAGGTGGTTGTATTTGGGTTTAACTTTCAAGAGAGTCTCGTAAGGAGTTTTAAGACTGAGAACAAGGGTGGGGGTGCGGTTAATCAAGTATACAGCTGTAGGAACGCAGTCATTCCAATAACAAAGAGGGATGTTGGACTGAAAGAGAAGAGATCTCGCAACATTTAATATGTGCTGGTGCTTACGCTCCACAACCGAGTTTTGTTGTGGAGTGTAAGGAGAAGAAAATTGATGAATGATACCCTTTTGTGAAAGTAAGGATTGAAACTGCAATTCAGGGGCATTATCAGACCTGATTGCTTTCAGTTTGCTGTCAAATTGTGTTTCGATCATTGCAAGAAATTCAGTAAAACGAAGAGAGACATCAGATTTGGCTTTCAAGAAATAAACCCAAGTAGCTCTTGTATGATCATCAACAAGAGTAAAAAAGTATTTATAACCAGTAACAGTCTCAACATGAAATGGACCCCATATGTCTAAGTGAACTAACTCAAAAGGAACTGAAGCAAAAGAAGTAGATAAAGGGAAGGGTAGACTGCGTTGCTTGGCCATAGGACAGACTTGACAACGAAGACTGTCATCCTTGATTGGTGAAAAGGTAAGGTCAGTTGAGCTGCCAACGGTTTTGATGATAAGTGAAGACGGATGTCCAAGACGATTATGCCAGACATCAGGATCAGAAACAGTGTATGCCGTGCAAAGAGGAAGAGACAGGGATTGCGAGTTTGATGATGGAAACGACATTTCAAAGATGTATAGGTTTTGTCTTTGATCACCCTTGCCAATCATCAAGTCCCGAAAAAGGTCCTGGATTAGATAAGAATCACGAGAAAAGGTAATAGAGAGTGAGTTTTCTTTGGTCAGGGCACTAACACTGATTTGATTTAAGTTGAAAGTTGGAACAAATAAAACTGAGGATAAAACCAGAAGAGGAGAAATACGAACTGTTCCTGAGAATTTGACTGGGATAAGAGTGTTGTTTGGCAGGGTAATATCAATGGGTGTGATAGGATGAATTTCAGAGAATAATGCCTTTTCACAACATACATGACAAGAGGCTCCAGTATCTAAGATCCATAGCACTGAGTTTGAAGAAAAAGGGTTATGTAAGGTGGAAAAAATAAAAGAAGTGGAAATGGAAGTACTTGAGGAAGGCTGGGTAAAAGAGGTGGATGGACCTGCAATATCCGTATCAATAGGAGAACTGCTCATACCCTTGAACTGTGATGTTAACTGGGCAAGCAGATTCTGGGCCTGTTCCAATGTGAATTTACCAGGGGCAGCTGAAGTTGGGTGTGAAAACCCAGAGTACCGTAGGAGGGCGGGGAGTGATCGCCGGTGCAGAGGCACGGACAAGGGGCGGTTCCTGACGAGCTTCTGGGTAGGGGGTACAGGGATGAATCGAACACACCGGAATGAGAGAGATCCGAGGGCTGTATTGGTATGGGACTATACAGTCTAAGATAACATAAAAGAATTAGTTGAGCTACTCATAGCAACAAGGTGCACCTGCCTTTTTGGTTGACTATCCCGAGAGAACTCCAAAGTTAAGCGTGCTGGCTCTGGAGCAATCTCAGGATGGGTGACCTACTGGGAAGTGTCTCGGTATGCGTGCAAGTGAGGACAAAACACGCTGAAAGGTCTCGGGTTGTTGTGTGAGGGCAGTTTCGACAATTCGTAGCATCCTCGGGTCGTTCCAGATGGTATCAGAGCCGGTACTCTCCCAGTACGGTGTGGTTCGAGGACGAATCAGCCGGAAGCTGGTGGGCCTGTGACAACCCAGAGTACCGTAGAGGGCGGGGAGTGATCGCCGGTGCAGAGGCACGGACAAGGGGCGGCTCCTGACGAGCTTCTGGGTAGGGGGTACAGGGATGAATCGAACACACCGGAATGAGAGAGATCTGAGGGCTGTATTGGTATGGGACTATATAGTCTAAGATAACATAAAAGAATTAGTTGAACTACTCATAGCAACAAGGTGCACCTACCTTTTTGGTTGACTATCCCGAGAGAACTCCAAAGTTAAGCGTGCTGGCTCTGGAGCAATCTCAGGATGGGTGACCTACTGGGAAGTGTCTCGGTATGCGTGCGAGTGAGGACAAAACACGCTGAAAGGTCTCGGGTTGTTGTGTGAGGGC